TGTGTCACCTCTTCCAAAGCCTTAATGAATTTCCATTTCCTGCAAGAGACCTCACAGCAGGCCATAGTTCTTCCTATTTTTAAAAAGAACCCTGTCTATCATAAAAGAGTCGGTTTTCTACTACCAATTAGACCTTCCTGTGGACCTACCTCTCTCAGCCCAGACCACTGCACAATTTGGTCAAATGGGTTTCTCAGTCTCATGGAGAGAATGCTTTTGCTCTACTTGCAGTGTCTACGTTTGAGTGGGGCAGGAAATCGCAGGCTATTTAGAAACTGAGGTCTTATTTCCCACTGGGCCCGGGGTAGATCTGGGTCACCTCCACTCCTGAAGAGCCAGCCTAGGCACTTATTCTCCTTGGAGGCCTCCAGAGGCTACAGGCTTAAAAGCCGAGGAAGCAGCACCCAGCTGCCCAGGAGAGAGACCTTATGGACACACTGCAGGTTTTTAACAAGACCTAGACTTCTAAGGGAGCCTGTTGTCACCTTCTGCAGAGATTAGACCCACCCTTCGATGTGGCAAAAAGGGCTGGGTGTGCAGCACAGAAGGGAAAATAGAAATGTCCACGCCCCAGGGCTGTCAGTCATCACACACAGCAGTGGTTCCCTAAGGCACAGATCTTGGGGAGAGGATTACCCAACCACCCAATATGATCCTAAAATGCTTCTGAGACTCCAGGGACATCCAGATGGCCGGCTGTACTAACTTGGTACATGTGTACAAAGGTGCTAGACAAGTTGCCTAAGAATCACCAAGGGCACTTCTTAAAAACATGCCTTTTTCAACTCCAACTCAGAGCTTAATGCAATAGGTCTGAGATGGAGATCTCAGAACCTTAGGTGATTGCAAACACAACCAAGTTTAGAGACATGATCTAGAGAATTGGTTCTTAAATGACTGAAACATTCTTGGTCAAGGACACCTCAGGTCTTTTCTAAGGACTCAGGAGATCTTGGGAGGCCTGTTACCCTCACTGCCAATTTGCTCTGATCCAGGAATAAAAAAGCCTTCTATAGCCAACCTGCAGAAAAGTCAGTGCCAACTTCACAATATTTTAATATTTTGCTGCGAGCTGACTTTGGAAGGAATGCTGAATAAGAGCAAGTCCAGATGAAAAGTAAAGGCTATGAAATAACCACTCATTTCCACACCTGATATGCCCCCAACACACACACACCATCCCACCACCCTCAAGAAGGGTCAAGTCATCCTACTCACTGTCTAGCAATCACAGACCAAAAACCAGGAGCCAGAGCAGGGCTCGCTCTATCCCTGCTGATTACTTGTATGAGCCAATTATGACCCAAGTTTCAAAAGTTCCTAGGCCCTTGGCTGGCTTCTTGCAATGCTCCTAGCCTCTACAAGGGAAAGGCTGGCTCCTGTCCATCTGACCAAGCCAGCCTGGCCCAGGAACACAGCCTCGCATGTATGTAGAATGAGCTGAGCATTAAAGCTAACAGTCCCCACGTCCTCCTCAGGGAACCCAGGGAACTCCTGGAGTCACATGCACCCCCTTTCCCACCTCGGGCCCTTCTTACCCTGGCACAGTTTAACAATGCCCATAACAATGATGGCAATGAGCGCTAGGACCTTGGCATAAGTGAATATATCCTGCACACGTGTGCCCCACTTGACATAGGCACAATTCACAAATGTCAGCAGACCTAGAAGAAAAACCATAAAGTCACTGGCAGGCTTGAGCTGAGGGCACAGAGGTCCAATCTTTCTTCATAGAGTGCATCACCTCTGCCCTATCTGCCTCAGGCAAAGGGGCCAATGAACTTGTCAGAACCAGAATAGGCAAATGGAAGGATATCCCCCATGCACCCCAGCTGGGAGCTCCCATGAATCCCGTCACTGTTGACAAGTAAAGATGCACAGGCACGCATTAACACACACTCATAAATCTAACAACCACAATCATTTTTGGAAATTGTTCCCAGGCCCAGGAATGGTGGCCTTTACCCACTCAGACTCCCAAAGCATAAGATCTCTCCATGGCCAAGAGAGGCCCATAATAAATGAGGTGAATTTGAATTTAGGTGGCAGGTCACTTAGGAATTAGAAAAACAATGTTTTGCATATACACGTAAAAAAAAAAAAAAAGCCTGTCATATGCCCGACAATTTTATATACGCTTTCTCAATTAATTCTCAGAACCCAACATGCATTCCAACTCCCATTTTATAGATGATAAAATTGAGGCTGAGAGGCTAACTACCATTCCTAAGTTCACATGGACCCCACTGATCTCCCCCACCTTCTTTCTATCCAAATCCCACAGTTCTCAGTGAGGTCCACAGAGAAGCTCAATTGGGCGTTCCCGGGGACCCTGCCAGCTCTGCTGGCTTTATGGCCCAGTTCCTCATACGCCTCGGTGATATCTGAGGCCTGTGTTGAAGATCTCGATATCTTACCCCTGCTG